TGATAAAGAGTACATTTATTTACATGTTTAAGCCAGAATGATTTGACATTTAAATATGACTTCCTTACAACCAGCTGACTGAAGCAATCGTTATCACTATAAATAACAGTCATATATTTACAGATAATAAAACTAAAGTCTGCGAATTAACAAAAGCATTTTTTAGGTTTAGATTTTTTGGTATGTTTACCTTTTTATATGATGCCATCCGCAAAAAAAATGTCAATTTCACAGTTATCAAGAATGAGCTCCCCAACACAGTTATATCTTGAAAGTATTAATATCAGTATAAATGTAGGCTCCTCTTACTGTTGTTATCTGTCATTTAGTCATATACTGTACTTAACAACATGGCGGAGACAACCAGAGAGCCGGTGCAGAGGCCAAAACACAACTGAGAGTGAAAGAGGAAGTACAAACATGAAAAGTAGTTTTGCAGACAGAGAAAATTAAAGTTTTGGAGTATATATATATTAAAAGAAAAAAAATTACATATAAAGCATGTAACATAATCTACCGCTAATTGCTTACCATTTTCATAAATAACAGAAATGTACTGCTATTTTTATTTTGTGTTTTAGCTAACTGAATATTAGACAATTTGTTTCTGGCTGATAAGCCAGCCAGATGACCTGCAATACACAGCAATAGGTGGAGGAGGGGCTGCAGTTACCTTGTAGTAGCTGCTGTTCGTTTGGGCACTTTAAAATGAAGAGGTTTAACTCTTTGTAATGAGAGAGACCCTGGTTTCAGCCCTGATCTCATCCATCCAGGAGATCCTGCATAAAAACCTGCTGGACTTTCTATTGTGAGATCAATAAAATAATAAATAATTATTTTTTTATTATTATGATTCCCTGTTTAACAGCGGCTCATGGATACCGTAAAATATTAATAGGTGGGTTTAAAATGCTGCTTTACTCTCATTAGTACATGAGTTGCATTGCGTTTAACAAGATACTACAACATTAAAAAGCAAAAGATAAATAATCTCTGATGTCATAAATTCAAAATGTCACCTTACAAAGTTAAAATAACCGTTTTTAATCACTGTCACTTTAGTGTTGTAGCTTTAAGAAGTTGAAAAGCATCTAAAGGGAGACATATGTGAATGCTAAGGGGTTTATCACATGTGAACCCTTTGCTAGGTGTGTCTTCACTATAATCCAAACTCAAGGCTACAACGGTTATAAGCTTGCTAGCACGTTCAAGGCTAATACACGCGCGTGAATGTTTTAAAGGGATTTAAATTGATTTAACGCACATCTATGAATCTGGTTGGGGTAGCTAACATAAAAACAAGGAACTGTGGACATACTCTGTGGATATCCATCCGAGCCTCCCCGCGGGAAGAAGCCGTTGGTCCCATATTGCTGCTCTGACAGAAGCGGTGACCGCTCCTCGTCCGCCATGGCTGACCGCCCTGGAACCGGAGTCTTCTTTTCAGCGGCCGCTGTAGTTACCTTAACAGCGAAGGGGAGCCTCCTCGATACCGACAAAGATTCGGGGGTTGTTTAAATTAACCCCGGAGTTTTTTGTTCACATGACACTGCGAAAATCGCTCCTCGAATGCGGAAACGACTCAACAAAACATTGGTCACATGACAGGGATTTGAGTCACGAATGTGTTAGGCACAGAGCTCGACCAATGAAAACACTCGCTGCGCAAATGGGCGGGTTAAAAGAAAACGTTCGAGTTGTGCGGCATTCACGTTACGTTGATGAGACGGATTTTTTTTTTTAACGGATAGCAGATAAATTAACCCGCCCAAAACAGGTGTTCCTTTTCACCACGTTTAAAAAACAGACTACATTTTTAATTCGACTTAGTGTTAACCACAGTCCGATCAAGTAAGACGGATGCATACAAATGGACAGCAAAAAATGGGGTAGCTCATATGTCGTAGGTGCCTTGAAAGCAGCAGATCACCTCTTATTTACATACATTTATTGGGAATGCAAATACCATTCGAGGATTCGTAACTTTGAGCCATCTCTGTCTTTTTCTATAAGGCATATACCAGAACAGAATGTTTAAAATAACTGAGTTAAAGTAAATAGAATACTCAACATTAGCTGAAATGTTTAGAATAGAATAGAATAGAATAGAATAGAATACAAAATCACTATATTGTCCCACAATGGGGAAATTGTGGTCTTTACAACAGCAAAGTTTCCCGTAAGCATTGTAATCACTGGTTTCGTTAAACTGAATGTAATTAGTAATTATCCGTACTGCGTCCAATACAATTTTAAATAACAATATTCCCAATTTTTGAATCCTAAAAAAAAAACAACTATTTTTTTTTCATGCACTAATTCAAGTAAAATACACCGTTCATGTACCGTTCTTAGTGTGCAGATTGTTGTATCCAATAATTAGCTATGTTGAGAGATGAGATTTTTTTCACTTATTTAAACCAGATTGTTGTTGCCCAGCTTTGATGACACAAAAAAGTGGAAATCCACAAAGGCCACAGGTGCACCATGGACAAACAACACCATTATCATCCAGTGTTTTTATCAATAAATCATAATTACTGTCAGTCTTTTTTTAAGCCCACAAAAACTCCAAGAGCAGTTTTATCTTTATAAATAACATTTTATTTCCTTTAATGTAAGGAAATATCTGGGAAAGGGAATTTCCCTCATCAGCTGTTCCTTATTATTTAGCTTTATCTACATTATTAAAGAGTTTATACAGTTTTACAATATAGAGTAATTCTTTTCAGTTACATTGAGCTTGGATATCTGGTTATTACTCTGATTATGTTTTTACCATATTCAGATATAATCAAAAATATTAACTATTTCACTCATGTTGTAGTTTTCATTGTCTCTGTTATTGAAATATTGTGGTTACACTTATTTGTGCATGTTATTTTTTATTTGGTTTTAATCATATAAGAGTTTATTTACTGAGCAGAAGAACCTTCTGCTTTTCAGTGCACCTTACTAGGATGTGATTACAGACCAACTCCGAATATAGAAAAAAATATATCAAAAAAGAAATCACAAAACATTATCTTTTAGACACGATACCAGTCATATTTGGAGCTGGTACTCACTGATCTCTATTCACTGGATTGCTAATAGGCCATTGGTAGCACAGGGTGGAGTGAAGCCGCTTGCCGCCATATTGGTACTGGTAAACAATATGTGCGCTACAGCATAAGAATTAAAATAAAGAGGAATTAATCACCTTGACACACACTTACTTTTTCATAGCATAGGCACGTCACATTACATATTCAGTATGAAGTCCATGAAGTCTATAAATCATATGTACGGTATTATGAAATATTATTCAAATCCATCACAACAAAATGAGTGTGTTAGTGGAGTGTAATAATAATTTAGTCAGATATTAAGAATATTACACATACACACACACACACTGATGATTAAAAGTAAAAAGTACTAAATTGATGATGTATACGTATTATACCGGTACATGTATTGATTACATTGTCATGGTAATTACATATTGAATTACACGTATTTTCATGGTGTGACTCTGTGAAAGTGGGGAGTACCAAGATGGCGAAAGGTGACTTCAGTTTCTTCGGTCTATCTCCAATCCAGTGGATAAATACTAATCAGTGGCTGTACTTTAGTAGTACGACAGAGTATTAGGGCCAGGCTAGAGGTTGGTGTTTTTGTTTTTGTTTTTTAGAATAAAGTCGTGACATTACAAGAATAAAGTCATAACATTACGAGAATGAAGTCATCATACAACAACCCGTTTTAGAAAGAAAGCTTTGAGCTCTGACCAGCAGATGACGGCCCAATTTGATGCAGGTGCGCTAAAAGATTTTCTTATTTGTCAAACCAGAGCCAAAGTATAACTTCACATAATGCTCGACATTCTTCATTTTAGTGAAGAAAGTGCTTCCTTTAAGAGCTGTCATAAAATACAACTTTATTCTCGCAATTCTATTACTTTATTCTCTTAATATGAATGGTTGAACTCTAAAGTGTTTTGAGAAGACTTCTGTTTGGGATTTGGCGCTATATAAATAAACTGAATTGAATTTAATTAATATTACGACTTTATTCTCATAATTTAACGACTTTATTGTCATAATTTTACGAATTTATCCTTGGAATTTTATGACTTTTTTTCTCTGAATTCTACGACTTTATTCTCATAATTTTACAAATTTATTCTTGGAATTTTACGACTTTTTTCTCTGAATTTTACGACTTTATTCTCATAATTTCATGACTTTATTCTCGTAATGTTATGACTTTATTTTCGTAATTTTACGACTTTATTCTTGGAATTTTACGACTTTATTCTCGGAATTTTATGACTTTATTCTTGGAGTTTTATGACTTTATTCTCTGAATTTTACGGCTTTATTCTTATAATTTCAT